GTTTTGGGCCAAGTAGAAGAGTGGTACATACCTGGGCACTCGGTTCTCATTCCGCAGGAGGAAGGCAGTCGGTCTGATAAGTGGTGGGAGTGCTGCTTGGTCAAGGTCCAGTACCCACCCGCCGACAGTAGGCGGGTTTATGCACGTTGTAGTGCTATCTTAGGTGTAGGAGACTAGGTGGATTGGGTTTAGGTTTTTCCTTTGTTTTTGTCCTTTCTTTGGTTTGCAGTTGCTTTTTAATGGTTTTTTGGGTTGTTTGGTTTTGTTGGTCTGTGACTATGTTTGTTGGGTGGAGGCTGAGTTTTTCAGGACAGCGGCCTAGGTTTGGCCTCCTGTTCCTAGAGTTTTACTCGGCCATGGCGAGCGCTCCCTCGTAAGCTAAAGTGGCTGATGCTGCCAGGATAACTCCGGGTTGAATTGTGAGGTTTCCCCGGCCTCGATTTGACCTTATAATGGATTTTTGAAGCAAAAAAAAAAAAAAAAAAAAAAAAGTTGTAGTGACTACGTTTGCCTCCTTGGTGGATGTGCTGCCACGACACACCCAAACGAAAGTAAGGCAAAATATTTCGGCGGTCACGCCGACGTCGGAAACTGGTGGGATCTGAAAAGTACACTAACTGGGCTGTAGTGTAGTGGTGGGATCAGACCCTTACCCGCCACAATATGTCTTCTACAAAAAAGTGAAAAAAAAAAAAATAGTCTGCCTGATCTTGATTCGTGAAGCTTTGCACTCTCCAGCGGCACGGTTCCACTAGCACACGAGTCATGGCCTAGTGCGACGCCTGCGACACTCCAGAAAAACGAAGAAAAGAGAAAAAAGAAAATTAAAGTGGTGACTTCTCAAGTCCCAAGGTGGGGACGAGCCCGACCTTTGGAAGTGCTGCAAAAGGTTGTGCCATCTTCTTGAACAGTAGAATGGACAGTGGATGAATGTATCCCTCGCAGAACGTAGCCAGATTCACTTCTTCCACCTTTCTTTATTGCCTGAGGGTGCACCTATGACAAGTGCTACATGACGATTGCAGTCCGAGTCTCACGTACCACAGAGAGGGAGTGGAGTCCCTTAGTGTGCCCGACGGGACTGCCTCCTGTGACGGTTCCCATGTTCAAGCGTGAAGTCCTTATATTTTGAGAAAGAAATGAAGTACTCGAGGGGCTTTCTATTGACCGGAAAAGAAAGCACGGTCAATACGAACGACTTAGAGTACTTGATTTTTTTTTTTCTTTCCGACAACCACCAATCAAAAACAGACTTGGTATTTCTTTTCCCCACATCCTGTTATTCACCAAAAAAAAAAAAACAAGAAAAAGTAAATTAAAACACAAATTTTAAATATACAAACATCTTTATTTTGCTACCCTCGGATTTCGATGCAGCAACGGCTGGTGGATGTCCCCCGGACGTCCCACAGGTGTCGCCGTGCGACAATATACCTTACTCGGTTGCTAGTGGAACCGTGCCCCAGAAAGTTCTTTTTTTTTTTTTTTCGATTCGTGAAGCTGTGCACTTTCCAGAAGGATTTTTTCTTTTTGTTTTTTTCAGGCCTGAGGCGCTTTTTCTTTGAAGAGCGGCGCGACGCAACCGGAAGCGCCACGCCGCTCCGCTATCGACATGAGCCAGTCTGTGAGTTGGTGGCGTCTCGTCGGCGCGGCTCCCTGCGAGGGAATATTGAGGAGTTGATGTGGGCAAGGGGTTACGGCGGCAGGCGATGGTGTGAGGTTCGATCGATATTTGTTTGGCGCGGCCATCAATGGGATGCTTCGGCTGAGGGTTCTTCCAGCCTTGATAACCTAGGCTGAAGAGGTCTCTTGCTCCGTGCTTCGTTTATGTGGTGTCGCGGGTTGACACGCTAGAGGAAGGGGAGGGTTGTCGTGGTGACTAGGGTAGTCTTCATGAGATCTTGGGCATGGTAGTGGCCCTGCTCCTGTGCCCCTGCGCGAATCTAGTGGAGGTTGGTTGGGCAGCAGGGGCAGAAAGTAAGGAGTGTCTTCTCATGCGGAGTGGGAGGAGGGAGACTTGTTATAAGCTGGAGCATCATAAAGAGATGGTGGTTTCAGGCGTTCATTTGAGCTGGTTCATCGGTTAAAGACACGGAAGCAGGCAGCAGCGCAATAATCGCTCTTCGCTTCCTCTACCTTTTTAAACTGTTTGCAGGTAGCAGCACAATAATGACAGCGGCGATGGAGTAGGAGAATTTTGTGCTAACATGTGAGGTGCTGCTTCGCTCCTCGCTTCGGTACCTTTTCAAATTGTTTTTGCTGACAGCGGCGATGGAGCAGGAGAATTTCGTGCGAACATGTGTGACACTCTTCACATTGGCTGCCTTTTCCAATTGTTTTCGCTAATTTTAATTTTGCATCTTCTAATGTCCTATATTCTTGCTCTAATCTAGTGCTTACACACTTATAAACAAAACTTACAATTTACCTTCTATTTTCTGATCAGCCAAATTCTCATCTACATGTACACACATACACACGTCCTTGAATTTCGACTATAATTTCTAAGTCGCGAGTAAAGTATTCTCATCTACATGTACACACATACACACAAACATATATCATCCGTTCTGAATGGCCAACATAATTCGTAGGGATCTGTTCTACAACTATGTATCTTTGAATTTCGACTATAATTTCTACATGTCTCAAGTAAAGTTCTATCAGGATTTTCTAATCTTGGAACCCTAAAACTTCGGAATCTCTCCGTTAATTAGGTTGTTGCTTCTTTTAAATGGGTGATACGTGCACATGGTGGGAGCTGCCAAAAGTTGATTGGCGCAAGGGGCAGAGGAACAATTGTAATGGTCTTACTGCTGCTCTGCGCTTTCTTCAGTGGGTTGTTCTTAAAGATGTAGGGTGTTCTTGGGGGTTACTGCATATATTTGAAGAAGCCCCGCTTTTCCAAATTGCGATCGACATTTTGGTAAGTGTGTCATTAATAACTGTAGTCGGCTGGATCGGATCGTTCCCGGAGGGCTGACTGGTAAGAAGGGGGTGGGGGGAGCTCTATCTTGCAGGGGCATCACAAGGTGGGGGTTGAATGTCTCAAGAGGGTAGGGGCGGAGTAGGGGGTTGCCCTATTCTGTGGCAGGGGCTGGTGTGCGGGTCAACATCAGTCCCAGCGGAGGCAGAAATGGGCAAGGGGTGGGGGGGCATGCTTTAGGTGGGAACTGCGTGATCCTGGGGAAAGTGGGGCAGAGGGTTGGTCCTATATTGGGGCCGAGGGAGAGCGGGAGACTCGCCTTGGCGGAGGCAGTGTAGGGCTGAGGGGGGAGGGGTAGGGGGAGGGAGGGGCGATCTCTCTCGAAGAATACTGACATCCAGTTTAGTATTTCTTTCCATTTGGTTCGCCTCTCGAGGAGGTTGTAGGAATAGGTGATATCTGGCAAGTCATTTGTGATCCTTCATAGGGTGGTTGAAAATTCGGTGGCCATCGAAGACTGATGCTGGAGCAACGCTGGCTGGAGGCGGAGCCAGGTGGCGCGACGCTATGACCTAACTTAGTGGGGGCGTGAGGCCTGGTAGAGAGATCTGGGGGGCCGTTTGCGGGGGCAGTCTTAGTGGTCATCGGGGATTTTAACTGAAGCAATGCTAGCCGGTGCTGGAGCAAGGTGGTGCAACTCTGTAACCTAGCCTGATGGGAGCATGAGGCCTGGAAGAGCTTCGGTTCGTGCTGAAAACAGCCAATGCATTGCTGGTGGTGGTCGAAGGTGGATTGAATAGGTTTCACCTATCTGATTTGTGGTTGGGAGGCTTGTTGACACACATTTTCTGAATGTTTCTGAGCTTTTCTTTTTCTTCAATTGTTCTTAGCCGAAGCCGGGTAATGGATAGCGGTCTGGTTTTGGCCATTTCTGTCATAAAGGTCCTAGGAAACTTCGTTTTTTCCTCCCGGGTTATTTCTTGCGGTTTTCCCGGCCTCTCTTTTTGGTGTGCGTGATCAAATGACCTGAGTTTTCTTGTAATGAAAAAAAGAAGAAAGGTGTTTTGTGGAGAGGTCCGACGACCACCATCCACAAGCCGTCGTGCAGAGGCGATTTAGGAAACCGAATGTGGTGAGCAGTCTGACATAGGGGCTCGTTAGACACTCCTTGGGGTGTCCTCGGGGCCGAAGGAAGTTTCCTTGGGGGGGTTTGAAGGAAATTTCCGCCGTCGTTCCACCTATCCTTGGTGTGGTCTCCCAAGGATGATTCCTTTCGGCTGCCGGCGGCCATTTTCATAATATTATAGTCAGCCGCGGGGGGGGGCAATGCCTTGGTCCATTGGGTGATGTTCGTTTTGCTACAGTGTGGTCCAGCTGCCGAAGGCGGGAAATTTTGAAAAGCCCTGGCGACCGGGAAAAAAAAAGACTCTTAAAATGCAATGGACCTCGGAGTCCACGTTCGAAAGTCAAATTTCAAATTGGGTGCTGGACGTCACGACGGCGACGCGGGCCAGGTGGCGTCCATATCCGCGATGGTGGAAACGGGCATTTGCAGCGGCGCAATGGAGTTTTGTACGTCTTCACAAATTTGTGAGCGCCCCGCGAAGGTCCATCGCCATAATCTCTGCATGCCGCTATGCGTATGTGTTGAGTCGAGCACACGTGAGGAACGTCGTGGGGGACTTGGCGCTGAGGTTACCGTGGTTGTGGCGAGTTGGTAGGCTGTTGTATTTTCATGGTTCATGAGCATTGCAACACACATGCGGATGAAGGGTGGAAGCGACGACGGACATGTGGAGTTAACGACGATCGAGAAGATGGTTGTGCTCTTTCGTTGTCAGTAGGAGAGGGCATTGGGTAGAATGAGAGCGCAGATCTGCGCGCGGCGGAGGACGCTTCGTCAAGTCTCGGTCAAAGGGCTGGATACCGTGACCATCACCGAGGCTGCAGTTCAGGTTTACTGTGCCATGGGTTGCAGTGTTCTTCCACGAGCTGCGCCGAGGTGGTGGATGAAAAGGAGGTCGGGGGGGGCGTGGAAGGATCTCAGGCAATGCGATGATGCGATGGAAGAGTACTTCCGGGAGAAGCTGCGTATGTTGGCCATGCACCCTACCGAGGATGTGGACGTGGAAGAAGTTTTAGACGACAAGAACAAGAACAATGCCCACGGGACAAGATTGAATACCGCCTCCATCCTCCCCGTAGCCCCCTCGAGGACACCCCCGATGAGGCACGAGAGACTCTGTCGGAGCCCCCGAAAGATGGCCAGCACGGGACCGAACCGACACGACCTCATCCCGAGCCCCCTTGGGATAACCTCCGCCAGGAACCCCCATCTGCCCTGCTGACCGGGAAGCCTCAACATCAGGGACTGAAAGATGGCCAGCATGGGACCGAACCGACAAGATCTCATCCCGAGCCCACTTGGGATGACCTCCGCCAGGAACCCCCACCTGCCCTGCTGACCGGGGAGCCTCAACATCGGGGACTGAAACAGGGGCAGGAACGGACCCACGATTGGACCCCGAACCAACAACACCAGCAACTGTCCATTCTCCAGGGGCAGCAGTCACAAATGCAACAGCAACTGCAGTATGCCCAACAAAAGCAACAGCAACAGAAGCAGTTGCTGCAACACCAACAACAAGTGCTGCAAGCCCAAGCGGAACAGCTACGCCGGTCGCATTTGCAAACACAACATCAGGAACTGCAACATACTCAAACGGAGCAAGAACAAAGCCAAACGCAGTTGCAGATGGAACAATAACTGCACCATCAAGATCCACAGCAAGCTCGGGTGGAAACCCAGTGCCAACCGCGGATGCTGTTGCTGACGGCTCAGGAACAGCAGTCACAAATGCAACAACAACTGAAGTGTGCCCAACAAGAGCAAGAGCAACAGCAGCAGCTGTTGCAACACCAACAGCAAGTGCTGCAAGCCCAAGCGGAACAGCAACACTGGATGCACTTGCAAACACAACTCCAGGAAGAAAAACGTCAAATTCAGCTCTAGATGCAACAACAACTGCACCAGGGACGGGAACAATTCGACATCTCGATACAGCAACAAGATCCACAGCAAGCTCAGTGGAAACCCAGTGCCAGCTGCAGATGCAGTTGTTAACGGCTCAGGGACAACAGCCACAAATGCAACAGCAACTGCAGTATGCCCAACAAGAGCAAGAGCAACAGCAACAGCAACAGTAGTTGCAACACCAACAACAAATACTTCAAACCCAAGCGGAACAGCAAAGCCAGGTGCATCTGCAAACAAAAAGGGAGCTGGAATGTCAAGCCCTTGCACAACAACAAATGCAGCACGACGTGCAGGAACCTGTGCAAGGCCGCTCAGGGCTCTGCCCCCAGCAACACCAGCAACACCTAGTATTGCTACATGCTCAACAACAACAACAATCACAACGACACATGCTCGAAGGAGATTATTTGGAACAGTTCGACCTCCTGCTGCGAGCCTAGCTGGCACAGTACCATCATCAACAACAACAACACCGGCTGACGCAGCAGCAGCAGATCCTTCAACACTTACACCTGCAATGGCAATAGCAGCTGTGTCATCAACAACAACAGATCCTGAATCAACAGCAGGATCAATTGCTCATGTTCTGGCAGTAGGAGGTGGAAAGACACAAACCATAAGCGCAGCAGACGATGCTGCTGGGTCTCGCGGACAAGGCACTCCCAGACTCATCCGAGGGCAGGCAGGAACCTCAGGATATGGACACATCTGCCCCGAACCACACCCTACAGCAGGAGTCGGAAAGTCAATTCCCTCCAGCGGTGGACATGGACATCGACGTTGATGTCATCCAACCCCCTCCACCTCCCCCGGTAGGTGAAGACTGTCCCCCCCCACCGCTTACTACCAATGATGAGGTAAAACAGAAGTTGGGATCCCTCACAAAATGGACCCTCATGAAGATCTTTTCACTTATGGACGATAGGCCTGCGGAAAGATTAGGGAACAAACACTGGAAGGAGGATAAAATGGTTATCATGTACAGCCCCCGAGTCCTGGCCACAGTTGAAAAGTATAAGGATATCTCATCAATAGATTGGATGGATGTTGGCGCTGCGATTGTTCTTATAGTGAACGAGTTCCTTGAAAAAATACAAAATTATGTTGAGACCCAAACTCGGGGAGACGACTCTGGGATTGTCCACGAGTCTGTGGCTGCTGCAGAGAAGGTGTTCCTCTATGATGGCCTAGCCTGGCCCAAAGTGCTGATTCACGAACTGTGTGACACACTGTACCCCCCCTCGCACGAAACTGTTCAACAGCTGCCAGAGGGGCTGATCCGACCGACCACCACCATGGTTATCATGCCTCATGCCCCCCCCGACACACAGGAACAATAGCCCCGGCCCGGGAGCCTGGAAAGACGGGTGTCCATAGTGGGGGATCCCCGGAATTTGGAACACGGGCTGCAGTGTGACCACACGTCGAGGGATCGTGCTGCGAAACTGTTCATGAGGACGAAGACAACTCGCTACAACAGGCGGCGGGAGAACAAGAGGAACTACAAAAGGAAGTCCCCCCAACGAAGTTCAGGGAACTGGTGAGACTCCAGGAGGATGACCCTACCCCACTGGCCATGCCTCCTGGAGTCGTCATATTTCCCCTGGTTCGGGAGCGTGAAGGGGGGGAATGGCTGTTGGGTTGGGCCCCCCGCCTGGCAACAGTAACCGGTCAAGCCAGCACAGACTTAGCACGACCCCGGGGGCGTTTGCGCTGGCAGGGTGGAGGGGCACCCCATCCACAGGCGTCATTCTCAAACGACTAAGGTATTGGATCAGAGAAGCTGATATACACAACGAACTGGGAGTGGTGTTGCCAAAGTCCCACACATTCCCCAAAGGGGTCACCCCGGTCATTCTACTGATTGATCCAAAGGAGAGAGCATCCAAATTTGGCTTCACTCTCAAGTGGTTCAGTCACCTGCAACTCATGAGCCTGAACACGGCGTGCTTTACAACAAACTGCGCCTGGACTGCGAGCAGAATGGTAATCCTCATGCAGATCTTCCTGGAAGAAAATATTTTAGAGGAGCACAATCAATGGGACGACCCCCCATTTGTCCTCCCCATTAAGACTTTGGATTGAACTGATGATTCACGAACAACCATTGACGCAAATGAATTAAAATACAAGGGGAAAGCAGCCACTGGCCCAACCTCCGGTCACCCGTTGTCCCAACCCGGACTCAATGTCACAACCCCAACTGTTGCCCGCATCACAAGTTCCTCAACCGCCTCCACGACCCCAGACCCCCCTCAACGTCCACCTTCCCCTTGGCTCTTTCCCCCCACCAGGAGGCCCCCCCTATGGGCAGCAAAGCTCGGTAGAGCTGACATTGATATCCGTTCGCTCAACGTCAATGGATTGGTCCAAGAAAATACGGAAAAAAAAAACTGCGATATGGAATATGTTAAAGAACCCGGCCAATGGGGGTTGGCCGGACGCGGTGTGTGTTCAAGAGACACATCTGCAGGATACCCCGCAGCATACAACACAAGCAAAGTTCATCTGGCCATATGCAAGCTACGCCGCGCCAGCGAGGGAGAGGGCGTCGGCGGGTGTGGCAATCTGGTTCCCCCCTCCTCCAGGCTCAAACCGCTCAATGTTGATTACGACAGGCAACAAGGAAGGTGGGTCTGCCTCAAGGTGGCCTATGAAGAAGATGAATTTTACTTGGCTTGTGTCTATGCACCCAACGCCCCGACAGGTAGAATTGACCTTGTCCTCTCCCTGCTCCAACATCTACCAGACGATGCTCCTGTAATAATCGCAGACGACTTCAACACGACCTTTGCCCCTCTGATGGATCGCAGATCTGCTGGACATCAGTCCAACCAGGCGTCTTCCTCACAAACAAACTTGGGTCCTGATATTATCATGCTTAGGCAGTTAATGGCAGAGAGGAACCTACAAGATGCCTTTAGACTGTTGCATCCAAGTCAGACGGCATTTACCTGTTTATCATCCAGGGGAGAACATGGTCTGGCCAACTCACGAATAGATCTCACCCTTGTGTCAAAAGATCTAATACGGTTAGTCACCACTGCAGAAATAACCACCATAAGCCCTTGTAAATCCTTTGACCACAGGATGATAACACTGGGCCTCTCATTCCACACTCATATCCAAAGAGGACCGGGCTTCTATAAGCTTAACACCTCCCTCCTCCGCCTGCCTAAATTTAAAGACATGATCACCTCCTTCTGGCAATACTAGCAAACACAACGACCGCAATCAGGGGAAAGGGTGGCCTGGTTTAACGATGCGGTTGCACAATTAAGAGACATATCTAAAAAGTTTTCAATCCAATACGCCAGAGACCGCAAAGCCATCTTAGATAGGCTCATGCAGAAACTGGAAAAGTGGGATGAAGACCTTATGGAGGACCCCCTTCACCGCCCCTCCTTTGATAAACTGCAGGAAGCCAGAGACCATCTTCAAGATTATATTATGCACCAGTCGGAAGCATGGAGGATACAGGCCAGAGTCAAGAAGGAACACACAGATGGCACAATGACAAAGTCCTTCTTTAACAAGGCAAAGGCCAGAACGAGAGCCAGTACAGTTCCTAGACTCAAACACCCGATGGAATCTAATGCTCTGGTGGCCACCAATGCATATGCCATAGTAGATTACGCTGCTAAATACTACAGTCATCTCTTCACTTCCCAGACGCCAATGAAGCATCCTCAAGAGGTTACTCATGCGAAAGAGTCACTGCTGCAAACGTTAAAAGAAAAGGCTCTCACAAGAACAAAGACAAAAGTTAGAAAAAGAACTCACCTCTCAAGAGGTCTGGGAAGCCCTCCGAGACATGGACGAATAGAAGACACCGGGGATTGACTCCTTCCACAAAGAGTTCTGGGTGCAGTTTTGGGAGCTTCTTAAGGATGACCTCGTGGGATACATACTGGCAGTCCAAAAAGAGGGATCATTCAATGGCATGATCGGACAGGGAGTCACCACGCTCCTTTACAAAAAAAGGGACAAAGAGGACATAAGAAACTACAGACCTATCACCCTCTTGCCCGTCCCCTACAAAATGGTCGCCAAGGCACTGACCAATCGTCTGCTCCCATTTATGAATATGCTAATACACCCGGACCAGACTGGGTTTATGCCCAACCGCAATATCCAAGACAATATCCTGCTGGTCAACGAGACCATTAAATATGTTCGTCAACGAAATGTTCAGGCGGCCATCCTATTCATAGATTTTGAGAAAGCCTACGATCATGTGGACTTGGAATTCCTTGAATTGTGTTTGACCAAGATGAATTTTGGACCGGCTTTTACCCACTGGATCCGGATCCTCCATAGATTAGCCTCCATAAACATCATGCTCAATGGCCATCTGTCACTGCCGATTTATTTAAAACGATCAGTCAGGCAGGGGGATCCCATCGCCTCTTTGTTATTCGTCATTGTAATGGAAGCCATGGCTTCGCTAATTAGAGCTCACCCCGACATCACCAAAGTGCTTATCCCAGAGCTGCCCCAACATCTGATCCCGATGACATCGCTGTTCGCAGACAACCTTACGGTTCTTATAAGGGCAGATCCGGACAGTCTCAGCGCACTTACTCAGGTGATACACCTCTTCTCATTGGCAGCAGACATGAAAGTCAATTGGGGATCAAAAACAGAGGGGTGGTGGTTCCATCCTCAAGCGCAGCCCCCCCCTGCCCGAACCAAGGGTCGCGTGGGCCTAGAAAGAAGATGCAATAAGGATCCTGGGGGTGAGACTCACGGCGATGGGCCCGCCACCAGACCATGGCAACCTGCTAGTGGGTACAACCATTGACAGACTGTCACGTTGGGAGGGACTGCACACCTCGTTGGTGGGTCGTGCCCTGTCAATTAACAATGTTATTCTTGCAGCCATCTGGTACAAGCTGGCAGTTTGGCCGCTGAAAAAGCAGCAGAGCACCAGGCTTAGAAAGACACTCACAAATTATTTGTGGAAGAACAAGGCAAGTGCCCCTGGTTGTGTGCACCATGTGAGTTGGGATATCCTCACACAACCAAGAACCAACGGGGGACTAGAGATATTAGACCCGGAAGGGGAAAGCGAGACCTTGATCTTTAAAGTCCTCATCAGATTGCTGATAGGCAATTACATCTCATGGGGCCCCTTGGCCTGCCTGCAAATTGCTAACCCGGCCCCAGAACCCACGACTAACAGTCGAGTGCACCCCTTCCAATGGTTAACAAATAAATGTTGGACAATCCCTGCTTCCCCCACATCACAGACAGGGGAACGCCTCGACCCAACTAACCATAAACGACATCAGTAATGATCCGTTGTGGCCCAATATGATCAAACTTTGGAGGCGGTGCGGACCGCATCAGAAACGACCCCCCAATAGATGGCAGGATGTGTGGCGACAACCTCTCTTTGGAAATCCCTACATTCTCGACGACGACGGCGCCCCCTTCAGAGCTGGAGGCATTTTAGAGTTGCGCCCTGATCCTCAAGAGCGAGGAGTGAGCGTTTCGTACACGCGCGACAGGCAAGGGTGCTAGTTCACGCCACGCCACAGGCTAATGTGGTCGTTGAGCTCAAACACGAGAGGCCCCGTTCCATCGCCTCCGTGTTTGCCACGTGAAGGTTCCATAGCCGTAGCTTGGG